TAATTGGTGTGGCCACCTAACTTGTTTTGGAATCAAGAGAATGTCAGGATTACAATATTAGCTTTAAAGAGCAGACTTTCATAAGTATTCATTAGTTTTGACTGACTGTGGGTTTTTAAAATATTTTTATTGACCTAAAGGAAGGGCGAGAGAGATAGAAACATCAATGAAAGAGAATCATTGATCAGCTGCCTCTGCACGCCCCCTACTGGGGATTGAACCCGCAACCCAGGCATGTGCCCTTGACTGGAATCGAACCTGGGACCCTCCAGTCTGCAGACTGACGCTCTAGCTACTGAGCCAGACCAGCTAGGGCTGGCTGTGTTTTCAGGAAGCCAACCCATTGAGAGCTGTGCTTTTGCCTTATTTTCATTAACCAACTATGATTCCTGATTTTGTGTCTGTGTGTGAAAGATGGGTAACAGCACAGACTCAACTCTTTGGGCAGAAGTTGAATTCTAACACAAGAAAGATACTGAGGAAAAAGAGTAAGAATTTCATGGGAAGATCCTTATTTCTCTAGAACATCAATTTTCAACCTTTTTCATCTCATGGCATACATAAACTACTGAAATTCTGCAGCACACCAAAAATATATATTTTTTGTTGATCTGACAAAAAATAGGTATAATTTTGATTCATTCACACTGGACAGCTATTGTGTTGGCTACTGTCATTTTTTATTTGACAATCTAAGGGAAAAGAGGTCAGTGCCCCTGACTAACTAGTCAGGTATTGCATGTTTTAAAAATTCTTGTGCCACACCAGTTGAAAATCGCTGCTCTAGAGTTTCTGTTTCAAGTTCAAACCCTTTTTGACAAGTATCCTAAAGACTTTGTCCCTGAGTTTCAGGGATCCTTGTTAAAGTTAAATGAAGATAGTGTCTTCTCTTTACAGAAACTCAGCAGGTCATGAAATAAATGATTTTCCTTTCTTAATTTTGAGTTATAAGAATAAATTTTAAGAGTCTCTGAATTCTTAAATTAGAAGAAAGCATGTAAGATTCTAGATTTTATTTTGGCCTATTGGAAGATTTTTTTCCAGTATTAATATGTATTACTAGTGGCCCAGTGTATGGACTCATGCACATTGAAAGGAAATTAATTAGAAGAAATATTTTATTTTTTAAAATATATTTTATTGATTTTTTACAGAGAGGAAGGGAGAGAGAGATAGAGAGTTAGAAACATAGCTGAGAGAGAAACATCGATCAGCTGCCTCCTGCACATCTCCACTGGGGATCAAGCCTGCAACGCAGGCATGTGCCCTTGACCGCAATCGAACCCGGGATCCTTCAGTCCAAAGGCTGCCGCTCTATTCACTGAGCCAAACCAGTCAGGGCCAGATTTAGCTCTTTTTAATCTGGTAATTAGATCTGTGCTCAAGCCTCATTTGCCATCATATAGTGATGGCTGAAAGTTGAAGTACTGCCTGTCTCTTGTTGCTCAGTGGTTGAGCGTTGACCTACAAACCAGAAGGTTACAGTTTG